AGGGTAATGTAACTGAGAGGAATTACTGAAACCAAAATGAAGGCTGAGCATGATACTGAGACAAGAGGACAGTAATAGGAAATAGAGGAAAGAACTAGGAGGCAAAGGGAATTTATAGAGGTCTAAATACAGGCATTTACATATGTAAATATATTTATATATGAGGATGGGGAAATTGTGCTGTGCATATATTTATAGATTTAGTATTAAGGTAACAGATGGACATGGAGCCTCCACTCAAGTACTCCTTCAATGCAAGAATATTTTGTTCTATTAAAGTGGCATTCCATGATGCTCACCTTCCCAACACAATGCCTGAAGACAAAGTGGGTGCATAAGCAAATGTGGTGAAGAAAGCTGATGGTGTCCAGCTATCAAAAGATATAGCATCTAGGGTCTTAAAGACTTGAAGGTAAACTGCCAGGGGAAGCCAGCCCCTGGCACATCATCATTGGTCCAGCAGGCACAATTGTACAGCAATAATAAGTAAGGATTATAGTAAAGTCATAGAGAGCATTATCTCCAGCACCAGGGAGCAGGGCCTATTGTGTGTAGTCTGGCAACTAACTGCCTTCAGAGAGGATGTCTGTGAGCATCTGACCTCCCCCCACAGTAAACAAATGGCCATCTAGCTCAGAAGCAACAAAACCCACATAGAAGAAGCACACCAGACTGTGTGATCATGAAGTGCCAAAGGAATCCATTATCAGGCATCAAAGAACCAAAAAATCATATCATTGTGTGCTCACTTTCCCGATCTGATTTGCTGAAGACAAATGGGTGCATAAGCAAATGTGGTGAAGAAAGCTGATGGTGCCCAGCTATCAGAAGACATAGCATCTGGGGTCTTAAAGGCTTGAAGGTAAAAAGCGGCCACCTAGCTCGGAAGCAACAAAGCCCACATGGAAGAAGCACACCAATCTGTGTGATCATGAGGTGTCAAAGGGATGAGGTATCAGGCACCAAAGAACAAAAAATCCTATAATTGTAAATGAGGCGGAGAGCATAGTGGAGATCCAAAGCCCATTTGTAGGCAACTGGACACCCCCTTACAGAAGGGTTGCAGGGAGGAGACAAGGTAGTCAGGGTGCATGATAACAACAATGAAACATACAACTTTCCTCTAGTTCCTAAATACTCCTCCCCCCTCCCTCCCACTATCATGATCCCAATTCTACATTACAAATCTGGCTAGACCAAAGAATATACACTGGTACAGATACGAAGTGGAAACATAGGGAATCCAGGACAGATGATCCCTTCAGGACCAGTGCTGAGAATGGTGATACTGGGAGGGCGGAGGGAGGGTGGGGTGGAAAGGGGAACCAATTACATATAACCACCTCCCTGGGTGATGGACAACAGAAAAGTGGGTGAAGGGAGATGTCGGACAGTCTAAGATATGACAAAGTAATAATAATTTATAAATTACCAAGGGTTCATGAGGGAGGGGGGAATGGGGAGGGAGGGGAAAAATGAGGAGCTGATACAAAGGGCTCAAGTAGAAGGCAAATGTTTTGAGAATGATGATGGCAACAAATGTACAAATGTGCTTGACACAATGGGTGTATGTATGGATTGTGATAAGAGTTGTACGAACCCTCAATAAAATGATTATGATTTTATACACACACACAGACACACACACACACACATATAGCCTTGGAACCTTATGGGATAGTACTACTCTGACTCAGCAAGTCACCATGAGTCAGAAATGACATGATGGCAGTGGGTTTGGTTGTGTTGTATAGCACACTGGTTAAAGCAGACCTTTGAGTTATCCAAACACGGGTTTGCATACTACTCAAATGACCTGACCACTGTGCAGCCATTAGTTAGAAACGTTTCATTCCATCCATATAACTGTTTCCTCCACTGTAAAAAGGGACCAATAAAATTAACTCGCGTACATTTGAAAATATGATGGTTATAGTGCAATAATCAGAGCTACGAAACGGTAAATCATCAGTATTAATTGCTATCATTGTGTCTTTCACAGGCATGACTATGAAGATAATAAAAGGTTATGAGACTTGTCTGAGTTCACACCAATAGTGCTAGAAATAAGACTAAACTAGCTCCCTCGTTTCTGTGTATGAAATCAAATTTTCTTCTAGCCCCTTAGTTTCAGAACCAAAGGATTCTCTTAGCACTCAGGCTTACAGCTGTTTAGAAAGGCAGGGAAGGAACTCACTAAAAGTCCCTCTGCTGGATCATTGGAGAACCGGCCATGTAGGTACCCAACCTAGGCTCTAACGGCCAGGGCACTAGTGCCCTGGGATAGTTCTTTGTTGCAACTTTCTCTTTAACTCTTTCCAAGCTATTTGCACATTCAGGGGGAAGATATTTATCTATGCCAAGATATTCAAGACTAGGCAGACAAGGTCTCTGGCCTCCAGGAACTTCCAAGTTAGAATCATTTGCCCATTTTGGTGCCCAGATCCTCTGTTACACCTGAAGCACTGTCCAAAACCCCAGCCTACTTGGCAGGAGTCCCAATGTGTCCCACTCTCCCAATAACTAGGGAGGTAAGTGCTTCTGTTCTCCAGGTGTTGGCCCCAAATGGTCCGAACACCTAGAATTTAAAAATCAACCACATAGCAATTGTACAATCACTGCTTGATGTGATTAAACTAGGAAATGTTATGATATCTGTAAGAGCTTCCAATAAAATGATTTTAAATAAATAAATACCAGCCACAATAACCCTTAAAGTACCATTAGGGCTTTATACTCCACCACACTCTTCCTCCTGCCCAGATATAGATACTTGTCCCAACGTAGCTAAGTTGGCTTCAGATACTAAATATTAGGTCCTGGTAGGCCACACTGGTGGGCTGATGTAGTGTTAGGTCACTTCTCTCACAATCCCAAGAAGGCAGTCTGCTTTGTATGCAAATTATGAAGTCAGAGACCCAAATTTGAATATTAGATCAACAACTTCATAGTGGGTAAAAAATTGAATCTCAGTTTTCGTATATAGAAACTAGGAATAGGAATAGCAATCCATAGAGGCTTTTGAGAATCAAATGAGACAGTGTTCTTGGGATGTTGATGATGGCCACTACTGCTGCTTTGTTTCGTCCCCTCCAGCCTTGGTTCCCAATCGGTCTCCTTCTTGCTTCACCAGTTCAGATCCTGAGATGGTTCCACTGGAGTGCCAGGAACTTTAGCACAGCTTTTTGTGTGTGTGCAACCATGGCTTCAGTCTTCCCTCACCCCAACTTGGCTATTTGCAATTTAACAGGCCACAGGCACCCAAGGAGTAGGTATTAGTAGTGTTGATGCTACTTGGATCAGTCATGTTTCTACCCTTATATTCTTGAACTTTCTTCTTATTTTAAGTTTCATTGGCATATAGCTCACAGGTCATACACTCAATAGTTCAATCACATCAAGAAGAGTTATACAATCATCACTACAATCTGTTTTAGAGCAACCCCCTTCCCCCCACCAAATCTTTTTATTGGGAGCTAATACAGATATCCTATCATTCCATAGTTCAATAACAACAAGCAGTGTTGTACAATTGCTACCACAATCAGTTTCAAAACATTCTCTTTCACCCTGAACTCCACTACCCCCGCCCCCCACCAACTTTACCCACTAGGAACACTTATTTGACTTAGGGTCTCTATAAGTCCATCAATCCTGGGTTTCATATATTAAAAAACAGAAAAACATATAATAAGGCTACCCCCAATGGCAAATTACATTTGTGCTAAACTCCAATATGAAGAAGAAAAAAGAGAGAGAGAAAACCCCACAGAAAATGTTGAAAATCAGATCAAGTTCAGCCTGGATGGGGGGATCAACAGACAAGGTTTTAACTGTTGAGGTCATACATTAGTCAGGACAGGAAGGTTAGACTGAAATAGCCTACTCTGCGACGTAGTTATGATCATAAGTTGTAGCAGACACTGGTAGTTGTCTATGAATATTTAACAGCACAACTCTTCAGATTTAGCTGGTCACATGAATGGACAAATGAACTTCCATCAGTGATAATATTTCCCAGAAGTCACTGTAATGGAATGGGGCCAAAGGAAAAGCGATGTTCACTGGGATGTGATCAGATAGGACACGATTCACTTCCAGGTTATGATCCCTCCCAGAGTGTGCACAGGATCCTCTGGTACTATTCATACGCTGGCTGGGGAAGGAGGAGACTGGGAGTTGCTAACTTGGCCCCAAATTGAATGGCATGACTTGAGAAGACAAACTCCCCTAATTGTCACTTATGTTTTATGACCTGATAGAGGTACCTTGTTTAATCCACTGTATTCTTTCCTTTTATTATTATAGCATCCTATCCTGTACAGGAAGCAATATAGACGTATGTATATTTAATCAATAGTCATTGTTTTAACTGGTGTTAGGTTATTAGACTTGTAAGCAGTGACTACTGCAAACACAACTTTTTGTAAAATGTCCATTAACACCTTAAACTATAGAATTAGTATCTGAGTTACTTTCTCAAGGAAACCCCTACCTGTCACTCACAGTTTCCCTGCCCAGTCAGAACCACCTAAAACTGGCCATCTGGCATGCTATGATCATAGTCAGGAACTACTGATTCATCGTCCGGTGTCTGTCATATTTTGGATTCTCTGAGGTTTGATTCTTTTCAATTATTCCTTAACCCATGGCTTTGTCTTGGCCCTAATTCATGGACTGCCTTTCTACTACTAGCTGGAACCACTGCATGCAGAGCCCCTGCTTCCTAGTGTCCCCAGTTGTTTCACAGCAACATCTTTTTGAGGAGAATCCAATTTCCAGGATCCTATATTTCAAAGCATATTTCCAGAGTATGTCTCTCAACTATGTTCATGTATGCTTTATGACAAGGGCTTAGTAAGGCTGGAATACTCAAAACAATGAACTCTTTACTCTCATAAAAACTGGGCTTCCTCCCTGTATTTTAATTATAAAAAGATAAGCAGAACACACACACACACAAACACATATCCGGTGTCCTGAGTTTTTTGTATTTGTACCTATTTTGCTGTAATTGTCTGCAACGAAGTCTTCCAGACCAATCGTCTTCCAGAAGCTGTCATGCCAGCCTGTCTCTGCTGAGTATGTCCATTTGCATACCAGGGTGCAGAGGGACCTATGAAGGTAAGAGAAAGATAGAACTTTTATAGTTTGTCAATACCTTCCCAGAAGGAAAAAAATCCTCAACTTCCCAGACACCTATAGTACTGTTGAGAGGTAGAATGAAACAAAGTAGGTAACTATATATCCATGTTTATATATTTTTAAATTCCCATTTACACTTGTTAATGATAAATGTGTCTTCTTTCACTTTCAAAATAAAAATCTGATGATATCAATCTCTGATTAAAAGACTCCCAACTTTTTATTTTGGTCCCGATTAAACAAGTAGTACATGAACATTTTGGATTTATATCTATGCTTATATGCCACTCGGAGACAATTAGAAATTATAGTATTGATCAGGTCTTTGATGACATCAAAGTGCATGATCAATTTCAGATGTAGTTATGTTGGTAATTGTCATTCATTTTTAAAAAAACTTATATAGAGAGAAATATACCTAAAATGTTTATGAACAAAATCATAGGAGATCTGGGATGAGCTTCAAAATTATTTTTTATTTTTCCCTCGCCTTATGTAGTCATAGATTTCCCCCACCTGGCCCCATGACTTTCCTATAAAAAGATTCAAAGAACGTACAGTGAGGAAGGGGCATCTGTCGCTGGAGGAGTTGACATAATGAGGAGAAGGGAAACAACATTTCAAGGAGTCTTCCACAGAAAAGGTGACATTTTGTGGGGGGTCTGAATGACTTTGGAAAGGTGCCATGTTGTGGGCTCTAGATGTCCAGTGGAAGAACTGTATCTGAAGACTTATGGTCCTGAAAATCGGGAAGACTTAGTGATGAGAGCACCATAAAACTTCCTTGCAAGACATTGAACTTCCTTGCAAGATGTTGAAGTACCTTACAAGACATTGAACTACTTTGCAAAATGTGGAGCAACATCAAATAAACAAGCACAAGAAACTCCACTTAGAAAAAAAAAATATATATATACATATAAAAGGTAATATTGGGACCCAGGCCAACACTTGCATCAAAGGAGCCACCACAAAAATATGAGACCCTGATAAGACTGAGCTGAGACCTGACCGACGCCCAAAAGCTAGCCGAGTCCCCTAAAGCCTGGAGAAACCTGATAAGACCAGGCTGAGACCCGGCCGAAGCCCAAAAGCTAGCCAAGCCACCTAAAGCCTGGAGAAACCTGATAAGACTTGACTGGGACAGTGAGAACGTCAAAGAAGTGGCCAAAATGTCCATTTAAACCCAGGTAGAGACACTGACCTTTAGAGAGCTAGGAACCAAGGAGACATCAACTCCTGCTCTCTCCAACTCTACCTGGGGTGAGTACACCGATGAGGCAATGCTGATTGGGACTATGGTGCTAATATGAAATGTGTGAGAAGTGTTATTATTATGCCTTTATGCTCATAGTTGTTACTCTGCCCTTATGCTTATAGTTGTTTGCCCTTAATAGTTTGAATAATATTTTAGATTGCTTGATGTGTGTTTGCAGTGAATAAACCAAGCATTCGAAAATGTCTAAGAGCGTTAAGTAATTATTGATCGCACCGCTCATGACACTTGGACAAGGTGGATGAACACGGAGGCTGTATGACTGGGCTCAAATATAAGGACAATTGCGAGCATGGAACAGAACCGAGCGGTGTCTCATTCTGTTTACAACAGATACTTTTGAAGCCTCTCCCGAGAACACCCCTAAATGTACCACTCATGAACCAAATAAATTACAAATGGATTAACCTAATCAGTATTGGTTGTAACAGAGCAATATTTTAGCCACTTAGCACTTGGTTGCATAAGTAAGTTATTCAAGATAGGTGACAACCCCCCCCACCCCCGCCTGCCCCCAGCCACCCATCAAGTTTAAATAAAAGGCTCGAGAATATGCTCAGCGTGAAGGACGCTGGAAGCCAGGAGGGAGTAAGTTTTAGGGCTACGGAAGTCCCTGGAAACTTCACACTCCGTCAAGAACATTTAAACACGATCACGTCTTTTCTATTGGATCGCTTTCTATCAGAGTGAGGGTAATATGCTAAGTAATCAGGACAGCAGAACTGGCAAGATTTGGAGTTCAAAGGAGATCATATGTATTCTAGACATATCTATAATAGCACTTTTTGTGGGTAACTAACATCTGCAGGTTTGTAGGATTTAAATTAGGAGTAGAGACCTGAGAATCTGGGTGCTACATTAGCAACATCTTGATAAACAGAGAAAAGATTGAAGTTGTCAAGGATTTCATCTTGCTTGGATCCACCATCAATGCTCATGGAAATGGTAGTCAAGATATCTAACAGCTCACACATTGGGTCAATACGGTCCATGGCATTACTTGACCGGTAGCTTCATTCTGCATGCCCATCATCTATTTCCTTGCCTTTGTGTGTGTTTTCTCTTTCATAAGAATGCTTGTTACACAGAATTAGGAACAACCCTACTGCAGTGTGACCTCTTGTTTACCTAACTGATGATATCCTCAAACACCCTATTTCCAAACACTCATATTCACATGTGTAGTGTTTAGGACTTTAAAACATTTGGGGGGGGGTGCTGGTGGGAGGAAGGGGTTTCCATCAACAACGGAGAGCTAGTTCACCTGTGAGAAGATCACACAGACTATCTCTAGGTGATGTGCCCACGGAAGTAGAAATGATTGAGAAAATTGGACGAGAACATTACTAATGAAAGCAATGAGAAACCCAAAGGCAATTGCAACAACAACACAAAGTGTGGACTAAAAACACCAATTTTAAACAAACTTTAAATTTCAGATTTCAGCTCAACTGAAAAAGACAAACACTGAAATAAAACCTGGTCATGGCCAAAAATCAAACTAAAAGTCTAGAAAAGAGAAAACCAAAAGCCACTGCTAAGTCGATACCAATTCCAACTCGCAGTGACTTGTATAGAGGTTTCCGAAAGTCTTCTCCTGATGGGAGCAGCCCGCCCCACCTTTCTCAAGCAGAGCTGCTGGTACATTTGAACGGCCAGTCTTGCAATTAGCAGCCAAATGACTGCACACACGGACACCGAAATAACTATCAGACCAAACTCAGCAAGTCCCAAAGTGCAAGAAACCATGAGAGAAGAGAGAAAAAAGAAAAGAGTAAGAAAAAGGCGTGGAGAGCAAATCCAGTAGCCTAAAATGAGAATAAGCAGAATGCCAGAAGGGATTAGGAAAAGGATAAAAGAAAAAGAAACCAAAGAAAAGATGAAGGAGATGATATAATAAAGGAATATAGTATTCGATTTTTATTACACTGAGTTGAAGCAAGTCTTAAACCTGTATATTAAAAGTCTCATTAAATCCAGGAAGTTAATCCAGAAGACCCATGAATTTCAAAAGTAAACAGAAAATTTTACAAGCGTTCAGAGAGAGAGAATAAATTACTTACAAAGACAAGGGAATCAAACTAACCAAAGAATTCTCATCTACAGGCTTGGAATGTTGAAGACAAGTGTAATGATATACAGACAGTTGTAGGATTCGGCGCAGCTGCCCCGGTTCACCAAGAACTGATACCTAATCTTTGTCCAGGTCTTGTGAATCAGTTTTTTAAATGGCACTTGGAATCAGGGTTTTCTCTAAGGTGGATGGCTGCCATCCAACGTGGAAGTCACACACTCCTTACTCTTTGGTAACGTTCATTCCACGTGCCCGCAGCAATGTCAATTCCGCCCACGGGTATAAAAAATTGGATAGAACTATACTTATAACATTTATTCATTTCTTAAAACTCATTATACTTACTTTTGTGAAATACATTTCAAAGTTTTATAAAAATGCTACATTTTTATTCCCTCGTGTTTGTTACTTCAGTAAACAAATATAGAACAAAGAGGAAAATTGCCAAAGCCCAATGAAAAGATGGCTAAAGACAAATCACACAGCTGCAAATGACGCTCAGATAAAAGCAAAGGGTATTGCAAGTGAGATGCCAATCATGAAGTAATATGGGAATATCTTAAATAACATTTTTGTTTTTTCTTATTTGACTCTTCATTAATATTTTAAAACTCCCCCCTTACAATCTAGTTTTGTGTACCTCTTTTTTTGTTCTTATTTAAGCATTAACTTTATGAAATAATAAAATACCTTTTAGTAAATCATTATTTGTAGTTAAAACAGTCATTAGGACAGCAAACCAGTTGTTAAGTGATTTGAATCCCACGACTGTTGTAAAAACCATTAAGAAAAACTGATCCAAGAATCCTATATTAAGACAAAATATTATTTACCTCTTAAGGAAAAGGAAAACATTTTCAACTTGCTAAGATTCAGTAAGTACACCAATCACGTACACTCTCTGAGGGTCATACTCCAGTGAGAACACAACAAAACACAGAGCAACTCCTTCCCCCTGGAGGAGGTCAAAGGAGTCCATGGTGACTCTTTGTTCTCTTCTCCTCCTCCCTTCCTTTTTGTACACACATATACATACGCAAATACACACATAGTTATAAATGGATGGTGATAACGGAGACAATAAACTGCAGCATTCAATAATATTGCATGTATTTGACACACTAGATGCATGTTATCTTATTAGTTATATGATGATAATACATAGGAATGAAGAATATTAAGCAAAGTAATTGGAAATTGCTCAAAGTCAGAAACTGGAGGAGTACACAAGAAAAGTAACTGAGGATGCCTACATATGTATGAGCTGTTTATAGATTGAATGTTGGTATTAAAGAAGGTAATTGCTAAAGGAATCAGAAAGCCCAATAGAAGTCTTAAAGTACCAGGGATTGATAAAACAATAATAAACATAAAAATCAATGAGCTGGGGAAGGTATTGGAGTGATGTAGTATAAATAGAAAACAAAATCAAGATACAAGAGATAAGATCAATTATTCACTTTATCTCAAATCTGAATGAATCAGATTACAGAAGTGGTTAAAAGATAAGAAAGGATCATGTGCAGTTAAAGTTAAGCTATAACTTACTTAGAGTACAGACTTTGTTTAAATGTGATGATGAGTTTTATAAAACTACAAAAAACAAATATCAAAAATTAAG